GGATGTAAAATAATTGCCATCATGGTTTTGTCAAGCTGCTGCCTACCTTTGTGAAGCAGGAAAAAGACTAATACAACGTGAATCCAGTAGAACTTTTTATTGTCTACCTGGAATGGGTGACAATAGTTGAATAAACTTTTGGCTCTCAAAATGATATCTGTGCCCTTTTTGTTGGTACTCGCCAATACCGATACCACTATTTTAATGCTGGACTGGGCCCCGCCTGTTACTGGTATTGGTATCAGTGCAACACTAGTTGTTGTACAGCTTCTATTCAACTGATTTTGTAATTTTGCAAGACAGGCAATAATCAAATGGTTAATAATAGTTAACAATTTAATAAGGTGAGCATTTTTCTATAGCTCCTGATTGACATAACTTGTGATGTTAAATGTGAAACATTGAAGTATGATATAACATCTTTAATAGCTTTGCATATTGTAACAAGTACACAAAAATAATTTTAAATAAATAAGGCCATGTTCTATAAACTGTCTGATGTATTTCCTAGTTAAGACCTTTTTTTTTAAAGTGTCGGTCCATTAAGTTAAATACTCTCCTACCTTGGCATGAAAATACATTTGCTTTCAATGGCTCACAGAATCCCTGAGGTCCAGGATGAAAAGGCCTTTCTGACAGCGCATTTAATTGGGCTCTATGTAATTATTCTGTAGATGACAATTATGATCAGAAGGCCAAAATGTCCAAAACACAACCACATATTGGTGATACAATCCAAAATTTAAAGCCAAAAGTCAAACAGGATTGAACAAATTACCCTGAAACGAAAATAAAATTGAAAGTTCAGCCCTTTTATATCATAGAACCATAAATAAGTAGTTTACTGTTATGAACACACTGATATTAATAACACCCTCACAATTTGTAAATGTTTGGAAATGCTCTCACAGTAAAGCTCTGCTCTGGTGTAATTCATGCATGTGGTGCAATGTGGCAAGCCAACTGATCTCCTGTGTGTGTGTCTGTGTGTGCTGCAAAAGCATAAAGTGCTTACTCCGGCTTGGTTATAGACGAAGAGATGCCATTATGAAAAAGCAACTGTGTTTACTCCCTAAACCTTTAAGAAGATTGGTGCGGTTTGGGTCAGGTGCGTCCATTTCTTGTGTTTGTGTGTTCAAGCCAGGGAGTTAAGTGTGTACCAGGCACGTGAGGGTCCTTTCTTTTTTTTGTCTTTGATCCCCTGCAAACTGCTCATGCAAACACGTGAAAATGCGGCTGCTGAAAAGGAGGGTAAGATCAAGAGGAGAAAAAGATAAGGTGACAAAAAGATGGAGAGCAGAAAACAAAAAAGAGAGAGGTGTGCATTGGAGTAAAGACAGGAAGGACAGAGAGAGCTTATGCTTCAGTTGAGGTGAAGTCATGCGAGCTGCGCTGCAGCTTTCTCTTATGCCTGAACAGGTCAACTTTGAACATAATGAATTGTTTTTAACTGCAACACCTGAAGCACATCACTACAGACACAAGCTGGAAAGAAGCACGCAAATATCCAGTCCCTCACCCATCTCAAACCCAAAACACAGATGCAAGTTGAAAACTAAGAAGGAACCTCATTAAGAAGTAAGAGGCACTCTGGTTCAGTCGCACGGCAACTTATTTACCATGTTTTACATGTGCAACATCAAACTCCTGTTGTTTTTACCCTTTGAAATAAAGCTCACTTTGCTGCCAAGGGAATCTGGGAATTATGGATCCCTATAAAAAGTAACTGGAGTGTGTTTTTTTTGTTTTTTTTGCCGCTGTCTTTTGTTAATGATGGATTTCTTCTTGAAAGCTTCCTGAACAGAACTGATCCATCACTAAAGTGTTACAGTCTGGGAAAAAAAAAAATCTAATTACAGAATTTTTAAACAGTCTAAAGGCCACCATATATGGAAGATGATTAGGGCAACTGGATAAAAATATATATTTTTGTGTTTTCTTTTAGTTTATATTAGGAAAGAAGTCTGAATTCCCACTTAAATCTTAGAATTCTGATTTTTTTTTGTAGAATTCTGACTTTTTTCTCTGAATTCTGAGATTAAAGTCAGAATTCTTACTTTTTTCCATATTAAAATAAAATAAAAAAAATCTGTTAACTTAAAAAAAAAAAAATTCCAGTGGCCCTAATCCTCTTCTTTACCCATATATAGGGGCGTACTGTATGCAAACTGTGAGCTGCCGAAGTCTGCATGTACTGTCCACAGACGGTTAAGACTTAATACTGGAGAGTTTCTGTCATAGAGTGAACATACGAGGACGTTCTTTAGCCTTAAAAAAAACAATAATAAAAGAAGGTGGTACAACAGTGAATGAAACCAGACCAGGGAGGAAGACGGGAAATATATAATAAAATATTCCCCCAGTTATTAGGTTTAGGTAAAAAATGTAAGTACAGAGACATAGAAAGCTGATTTGGCACTGAAAAGACCAGGGATCACCCCTGTCAAACATGAAACAGTGTCAGGAACATCTGTTGAAGTAATGCAGTCTGACTGCTTCAGTTGAGTTTTTTTACTATCTTGTTTCACCTTTTATTAGTCGACAGATATTAATCAGATTTGTTGGACGTAATTGTGCCTCACCAAAGAGTTATACAGTTCAATATCTTGCACCATGCAGCGTGGTAGAAGTTACAGCCATATCAAGCTCACACAATGTGACGTGTATAGCCAAATATTAAGCAAGTTGTGCCGTGCCATAGATGACTTCTTGCCATCTCTGTGTCTTTTCTGAAAGGACTGAGATGGGTTTGAGTCAACTTGTGGCCACTGTGCCTCTATACCAAAAGGCAAAGAAGTCACCCCTCTGTTTTTTGTGATTTAAAAGAAACCAGGAGGGTCTATGAGATCATGGACTTCAGCTTACTTAGTTTATCCTTTAGCCATAGGAGATGTTGAACACTGATTTAATGCATAAAACTATGGATCTTGTTGAATACATGTCTCCTTTAGAACAACAAAACTTAGATGTGAGGGAAACAGTTGGCTACTTGTGTGTTTTTATGAACTTTAGTTTAAGTCAATTTCACATTTTCACTTTATTTCTTACCTTTTCTTGAGGCACAGTAAATGCGTCCCTGTTCCTTTGCTGTTACATTTGCTGTATCAAACAACTAGGGAGAACAGGTCTACAAAGAAAGATCAATTACTTTTTTACCTTTGATGTCTTTCCTAATTAGTATTTAACTTTGCTGAAGATCTAATATGTTGTAATACCAAAACTAACATGCTTGTATAGTGCCTTTACAGCAAATGCAAAACCTGCAAAGATATGGCCAGTTTGTGAGCTTTTGCTAGGCTGACATTTCACCAGAAATTCACCTGGCAGGCAAATCTGCACGGTGGGGGAAAGACTTCACTATCAAATTTGCTGGTTGTTGGTTTCACCTCGACTTGGTGGATCTTGGTTTTTCATAGGAAGTTGCTGTACTTTATTTCTACTGGAAGCCCAAAGCCACTGGCATCCCTGTGTCCAGAAGAACCTTTAGAGATGCTTCCAGTTTAGGGAATCCAGAAGCTACGGCTGGATCATGGCCGCCCTCTGTAGAGCTTATGGTAAGGAGAGTTCTGCAGCTCAGACAGAAGCAGCAGGGAAATCAGAGCACCCAGCAGTCTTTTCAGGGTGACATTTAAACATCCTTTTTAATAGCCACCTACAAAACTCTTAAGAGCACTTCATCAACTTTATTTTTTCTACCTTCCATTATGATTGAAAAAGGCTTGTCTCCACTGTGCTCCTCTGCCCTATGTCACAGCCATATCTAAGCCCCAATTGGTTGTTGGAATGCAAATATACACAAAAGCCAAGATTTTCCAACCCTTGCGAATTTAGCTTAATGTAGTCTGTGTTTGCAGCTGTGCTCTCGCTACTCTTGTATTGTCATGATATTGGCGCTTATAACTGGTTTGATTGCTCATTCCATTTACCTACTATAGCTCCGACCGGTTTCTCATTACCGCTCCTCTGTTCCACCTGCTCCAGCCTCTATTTAACCTGCCTCCGTCCAGTCATCAGTATCAGATTATTCCAGCCCTTGGTGTGAGTCTTCTAGCGTAAATTTGTATTTTCTGATTGCCTGATCCTGACTTATTCTGACTTAGGACCTCTGAGCCTGCCTGTTTCTGTTCTGATCTGTTTGCCTGAACCTGAACAATCCTGGAACTGTTTCCTCACACTGTTCTGGATTTTCCTTCGGTGCCTCTTCGGATCTCTGATCTTCTGGAATCCTGAGCACCTCCTGGGCACCGGGTTTGGCTTTAAGCATCGTCGTCCTGAACTTTAAGACCAGGTTAGTGACTCACATGTTCATAATCTTCCTCCGCCAGATTGAAATGGTCACTAACCTGTGTTCTCTTCCTGCAGAGGTTCCTGCCTTAGATGTCCTAGCTGTTTACAGCTGAACCATTACTTTAAATAAATGCTTTTTGAGATATCATACTGTCTGTCTGCTTAAATATTGGGTTCTCTGTTCTGAGCCTTGACATGTATTCTACAAAAACGCCCCTTTTGACTTGCTAGAATCCTGACCTTCCCAATGCTTGCAGCACGTCTGAGCCCCCTTTTACATAATGATAACGTCTAAATCATTCGCTTAGAACGCACCCTTAGACTCCACCTTGGTCCTCTTCCTGTTCGACAGCTGCAACTCATGTGGTGGGAAGAATGTACAAATGTTGTAAACAAACCAGTGTTGTTAGGTTTATAAATCCGGTGTGTCAACAAATGTTTTATGCATTAAAAACATGAGTACATATTTTGTAGTGTTCGTTTTCAAAAGTAAAATAACTTTTCAATTTCTTTACTTTCCAATGAGAACTTTGTTTTCCCAAACCGACTGGTTTTCTATGGGCTTTGTCACATCAATGCAATAAACAACTTTTAAAAGTAAAATTATGGTGAGTTTAAAAGGAAGGGTCATTATTCTAATGTAACTAAGGGTTACATTAATAATAAAAAACAGTGACAGTAACAGTGACAGAGTGTCATGAACATAAGCAAACCTGTATAGTTGTTGGTGGTGAAGACCTGAGTCTGCATCTCTGTTGGAGCCTCTGTCTGAGCTTCTGTGGGTGACTCTGTCGACTCCTCTGTGGGTGTTTGGGCTACAGTCTGCAGGTCTGGCTGCAGTGGGACTGTACTCCCCGTCCAGTCTTCCAGCAGCATAGTGGCAGCGGTTGACTGTGAGTCCTTTGTGCTCTGAGAGGAGCCGTGTGCCAGGAGCAGAGAGCAGAGCAGGGGGAGCAGCATCATCCAGAGGTGGCTGCCAGAGCGTTCACTGCTTGATCTGTCCCTGAGTGACATGGTGTCAGGAGTTGAAGAGGATAAGAACAGGAACTCACTGCTTCATAGTTAGGCTTCCAGACAAAATGAAGAATCCTTAACAGCGGAAGTTTGTTGCTTTCCTTTTATTCCTTTCCTCCGTTTTCTTTTCTTCTTCTTTGTCCTCTTCTCAATTTTTTCTTAAACCTTTCCTGAATAAAATGAAACTGTGTTTCCCTTCATGGTCTTGCTGTGATGCCTTACAGAGAGAAAAAGGATGTGAGAGATGGTTGTACGTACACGTACAAGCTGCTTCCAGCTGTAATCTGCCTGCTCTCACCGCTCTCCACTTACTGCTAGTCTCTCTCCAGCCTCCTCCTCCTCTCCGCCCGTCATTTGCTCTGCTGCTTACTCTCTCCTCTTGATCTCCAGCTGGGCTGACTGAGCTGTTGCATAATACCAACTCATTTGCTGAGCTGTAACTCATGCAGACTTAAATCCAGATATTCTTGGTCACAGTGCTTTTCCTATTTACCCTTGTAACTCTATCCTATTGGAGTTTGAATAGAGGGGCTGTTGCGTCTAAGATTTGATTCAAGAAACTTTTGGCTTTCTCAATGAAGGCCTTAAGGTGCAATCTCTCTAGTTGAATGAGGTTGTTGTGGTTGGAAAAGTCCCCACCAATTTCTGTTCTCATACAATCCTCAAATAAGACTTTAATCCACTAAACTTGATAGTTTTTGAAAAAGTTTTAAGCACAAAACATGAAATGTTTTAGCATCTCTAGAGTAACAATTGTCTGACAAGCAGATTTTAGCAGGTCAATTAAGCTGCATTCAATTAAGAAACATTCACCTTGTTGCTAAGCAGCAGAAGTTATAATTATAGTTGGATGATGGAGGCATAATGTTTTTAATGTTAGAAAATGTTTCCAAGCAGTCACATGTGTGGTCCTTATGACCTAAAGGTTTGTTGCTTTCTCATTCAGCTGACCAGCAGTCCACAGCAACACATTTACTTGCACATTTTGTGCAAGTCTGGGAAGGGAACATCCTTTGGCAAGCCATACAGCTGGAGGAATTTTGCATTTATTTAATGATTTTTCATTGGTCATTTTTATTTTTTTTTATTTCAAATGCCTCTTGCTTGAGACAAAAACAATGTAATTTAATCAGTTTTCCTCTAATTTCTTGAAGTTTATGCTGTGCACAATGGAACATTGTCATGATATATCGCTAAGGCCATGCTGCATGCCAGTGCATGCCTGTGCCGATACGTTACATGATTAGCTGAACATTGCCACATGATGTAAAATATGCGGTTGCTCAGACAACGATAATAACAATGCAGCATCCGTGTGCCGAGCTGGGAGCATCTGTAGCATTAGTATGTCTAATGATCAATCAAGTTTTACCTGATTGATAACAAAACTGAAAAAAATGTATATGTTGAACAAAGTAACTGCAAGACAATGATACAAAAGCGGGAGAGCAGGGTAGCGCTGTGGCTAGCTATGCTTGGTAGCTAACAGGTTAGCCTGTTTTAGCAATTGTTTGTTTTTTCTATAAGTAGAATAAGTTGTTTTCTTTGTCTAAAATCTCTATGACTTTTTTTCACCTTGGTAAATGGCAGAGTTCAGTCTTAGAATGTGTCAGGATTTGGTTGAGGTTTGTGGACCCAAATGCAGAGGCAAGTAGGCAGAGGTGAGTTTCTTGTGGATTTAATGAAAGGTTAACTGAACACAGAGGCAGGAAATCCAAAAATCCAAACATGAAATCAAAGTCCAAACAAACCAGAAACCATGGAGACATCAGGGGGGGAAGCTATCAAGAGGAGAAAGACTCAGAGAGAGTAGGAGGATGTTTGACGAGGAACCAGCACTGAAGAACTGAACAGAGAGAGCATTTAAGGGAGACTGAAACAAAGAGAGAACTAACGAGCAGATTGGGAGCAGGTGTGAACAGAGCAGACTGGAAAGGAGCTAGGGAAAAAGGAGAACACAAGAGGGCAGCAGAGGGCAACAAAAAAAAACCCTGAACACTGAAAATAACTAGAAAACACAACAAAATAAGAACCAAACCACTAAGACTAGAAAACAAGGAGCAAAGCAAAACTGAATACTCAAAAAGAAAAACATAACAGAACCAGAACCCTGACAGAATGCAGTACTTTCTTTCAAGACTAACAATGATTGTTTTGTACTTTTGGCTACTTTAGATTGCCAATGAAATGTAAAATATTAGCAAATATAGATAATAATATGTTAAGAATTCAAAAGAGATCTGATTCTTAAAAAATGGGTGCAATACAGTTAATCCGAGTGGAGTTGCCATATGATGACATCATAAGAAGGAGCCTGCTCCCACGCATATCTGACTGTTACTAACCAATTCTTCCTGGATGCATGATCCGTACCATCAGCACATTTGTGCAACCAGATACACATCCAGGTTTCAATAAATAATGTAATTATGGTACTAAAGTTTAATTATTTATATTCTTAACTCACTAAAGAATGCTGATACACATCTTTAAAAAATGTTTTATGACTTTTCTGAGACATTTTTGATGATTTTCACATTTTCTCCATTAAACTGCTTGTGTAACATCATCATCGGACATGCTCATAGTCAAAATATGAATAAACCATGTTTATCTGCATTTTAGCAGTTTCTTTCTTCGGGTTACGCACTATATACCATAATGTTAACACGAAAGGGAAACATAAAACTTAAAAAGAATAGATTTATGTTTAAATCAAAAGCTGAAAATGTTAGCTCCCGGAGGTAGCGTAGTATCCCATTTCCGGTGCAGATCGGGCAGAGACGAGGAGTAAGACAGAAAGGATTTTAGAGCATTTATTTTCTTAAGAGATACATCATTAACCTTTAAAACAGTATAGTTTAGTATGCTTAGTGTTTTTAAGGAGGGAAAAACTTTTTTTTTTTTATCTTGGCACTGATGACTGAAGTATTAATTAATTTCTTCACCTGCTAGAGGCAGTGCGTTTTTAAAAATTACTCAACTTTTGACCTTAATGTGACAAAAGTTGAAACAAGTGCACAGAAACAGGTCCAGATCTGCACACATAAAACCTTCTAAATGCATGTGGAGAGTACATGTATGTGTTTTAGATAAAACTGCAAGTATGATTCGCACCTTTGGCAGGATTCTTAATTTATACGGAACTTGTTTCTCACTGTGAACAAATCATGTCTTGATTAATGCAGTATCAAAATCCTACTGAGTGGAGCTGTGTCCCTTTCTAACATACTATACCAAAGAACAGAGATAGGATGGACCTTAGTTGAAATAGATATTACAGATTTATTTTTTTCTGACATAATCTGGAAATGTAACTTTTTTTAGTGGTGGACTTTTTTGTCCAAATGTCCTAAATGAGTTATTTGAAGACTTTAAAACGTTGGCCATGGTGAAGCCCAGATCTATTTGAGTTTGGGCGGATCTTTCTTTATTAGGATGGCTTGAGAATTTTTAGAAATTAGTAAAAAATAATCCAAACCAATTTATAAAACTTTGTTGTTTTTTTATTATCCATGTGATATAAAGTGTGACTAAGGCTCTTTCTTTGTTTTCCCAGGTCCCCCTGAGTGTATGCATTTTGCATCTCCCAGTCGCATTGTAGCTGTATCTTCTTGCGAGCCTGTGAGTGCCAGAGGTGGATGTTCAGGTGTAATATGATGAACCACAAGCTCATGTTGATAGCTCTCCAGCCTGAAAGTCCGTGCAAAATTTGTCAATAATTTATGCATCTTGGACCAAAAATAGAAAGAAAAACGGATGGAGAGAAAAAGAGGCAGCCACAGAGCGAGAGGAGCAAATATAGAGTGTCAACACAAGAGCAGGAAGAAAATAGTAAAAGGGGAAAAAATAAAGTAAGATTGTAAAGGGCACATGCATTTGTAGGGAGAGCTAACTATTTCACATTCAAAAAATTATCTATCAAACACTGGGCCTGTAAATGGAGATAAGGAAGGCTCTGTTGGGACAAAATACATTATTTACAGCCACGCCTTTTCAAAGTGGACTCTGGAATGGCCTTAAAGTGGGGATTCGAGCTGATTTTTCAAGCCATCAAAAGAAAACCCATTAAAGGTTTTCACATTTTGCATGTCTTAAAACTTTTGATTTTAGTCCCCTTTATTTTGATACTCTCACTGAGGATGTAAAGATTCCAAAGATCCCTGAGAAGATTTCAGATTTTTATGTTGTAAAATAAAGTAGCGCTTTCTTAGTCATGTTTTCATACCCTCTGGCAATTTTATCTCAAAAGAAACTAGTGAAGGTAAAAAAATTAAATAATATGAATATGTCAACGTGGGGGTCGAGGTTGCTTGAGGACCCAAATGCAGAGATGAGTTCTTGTTGGTTTAATGAGGAAAAACTGAGGTAAACATCCAAAAACACAAAAATACTCACAACTAAAAACCCAGCAAACATCAGGGAAACTCACTCGGGGAGCCAGAGACGAGGAGGCAACAAACAATAAGGAACCTGTCAGGTTGAGTGGAGGCTTTGAAAACCAAAATGCAGAGATCAGTGGGCAGTAGTGATGGGTCCAGCAACACTGATGCGTCGGTGCATTCATCAAACCCAAAGAGCATTACACTGTATAGGTGCGAGTGATGTTTCAAAAAAGTAATGTGACCAATACAGGAGTTGTTTCCAACTGACTGACACACTAAACTGCGTTTAAAAACGTATATGTCAACATAATCCATCTGCTGTCTCATCCTTTGCGGTTTATCATTAAAATTATCAATAATTTCGTAGCTGCCTAAAAGGAATAAGAACATTTCAGCCGTTGCGTTTTTATTTTTATTTTCTCGTTGTGCCATACTTTTCCTCTCAGTTATAACTCAACTTATCTGAATAAAACTTCATTTCACTTTGTCTCTTAGTTTACTGTTTATTTCTGTACTTGTTGTTTTAAAAATATGATTTAAAATCTTGGTCTACAAGCGTCCACATTCAGATTTTCCCTTACATTTTCACATTATATGTTTGCATTATTTATTGCCTGCATCAAAAAATATGAAAGATATTTTCAATTTAAACATAGATATGAAATAATACGAAATAACCTACAATAATTTAAATTATCATGTACTAGGTTATCAAATCAATTCAGTTTAGTCTGTCAAATAAGCTGCCTGCAGTGTCTTTAAAGGTCCAGCAGGTGTCAGTATTCTGTGAGACAGTTTTAACGCAGTATCAGAGCAGTTTGGTAATGTGTCGAAACGCTTCAAGATGCCTCATTAACCCATCAC